CTAAATATAAAAATAAAATTTCATCAAAATCGGTCCAGCCGTTTCGGAGGAGTATGGTAAGAAATATAAATAGATTTTGCTATACAAATTATTCCTAGTTAAAAAAATGGGGTTTGATGGTAGAAGGGTGAAAATTTAGGGTTGTGTGTATTTTTAAATGTCATCTCATAAAAAAATAAAAATAAAATTTTTCCCAAAAAATTTAAATTTGTTTAAGTTAGGTTAGGTTTAAAGTTAAGGAGACCACCCTTATCATTAGAAAGTATGTAGATAACAACCTACTCTCAGACATACCGAATATACATATAAAATTTCATCAAAATCGGTCAAGCCGTTTCTAAGGACTATTGTAACTAAAACTGTGACACGAGAATTTTATATATGTTACATTAAAAGTTGGAAATTAGTGATTGTTAACAATTACTAGTAAAAGCTCGCATTCACTGATTTGCTAAGACTACGCCATCCAGTAAAAGTTCAACAGCTATTTCTGAAATCAACTTTTACGAGTGAACGTTAGTGTGATGTTAGCATTTCCTGGACAGTAGCAGTGAGTTTGAAAGATTCAGTTAGCGCGGTTGCCACATGTTAAAAAATATAATGATAAATAAGGATAAGTTGAATAATAGGCAATATAAGGATAACATTAAATTAAGCTAAACGTTGGCAACGTTGACGGACATGGCGTAAACTCGCGTTGTTTTTTTGTGGTTATCTATAATTGTTTTGTTATCGTTGTAAAAAGTGCTGTGCGGTATTTTCCCTATGGAAGAAATTTTCTGTGAAAAACTAAGCCATACTAAGCACTCGCAAGAATGTAATAATGCTTGTTTTTCATTCTTTGCAATATCAATAATACAATAATTAATAACAATATTATAATTTTAATAATATTGAGGTGATCCAATATTCTTAAAAGTTTTATTTGTTCTAACTTCCAACAATATTCTTCCTTACCACACTCGGCCTGTACAATAGAATAATTTTTACTGGCAACCTTTAGTAAATGTTACTTTCACTAGTGAATGTTAGAAATTATTTGGAAAAGTCGACAAATCTCTTTAAAATACCACATTCACTGGTCCAATGCGTAATTGTTAGCATTTCCTAGTGAATGTTAACAATCACTGAATTTCCTACTTTCACTGTAAAATATATATTATATTAAATCATATTTTTATTTAAATTATTAACATTATAAGCTAATTATTTAACATAATATAAAATGTATTTAGGTTATATTTCTGAAACATTTTTCTTTTCTATATAAGCGTCATTGAAAACATGGGCAATTTATGTTTAAGCAATAAATCGTCGACTTTAGTTCTGGGTCCTTCCTAGGCTTTATTTCCGCCATTTAATATAGATATGCTCTACAGATATTACCGATAGTATTATAGGGGTTGATATATAGCCGAAACAAGCAAATAGCCTGTAATATACCACTTACAAAATGAAATTGTAATAGGACTGCTTTGGAAAATATACGTGAATGGTCATATGAATATTAAAAATATTATTATAAATAAGAACAAATATATTAAATATGTATATTGGTATAATTTTTAGCAGCACTTATAGAATTTTATTTTGTCGCTTCAAAAAGCCTCCAGTAAGTTTCAGTACTGTTAAGAATTGTTAAGTTGAGAAATTATTATATGTGCATTTTTAATAAGGGTACTTATACAGGGTGCGTCTCAAAAGTGGCTCACCTCTATAACTTATTGCACTCTCGGTATTTTTTTAATTTATTGGATAGAAAATGACACTCTGAATGGAATGACATATCATGTCAACTTTTAACATTTTCTCGCTTAAAAAATAACCGTTAAAATAAATTTTTAACTAAATAAATACGATTAAAAAAATGGAAAATTAGTACTATTTAATTATTTAATTAGGTAAAAACAATAATTTTTAATATTGGAGCCTTGGAAAAATAGACTTGATCGTCTAATGTTTTTCGTATCTTGTCCTGGCCTGTTAAAAGATGCTCAAATTGCATATATAATTTTTTTCAAATGGAACGAAAGTATTTCATTAGCACATTTGGAAAAAAATATTTTTTAAAAAATAATTTGTTACCACACACTTAGTATTTTGAGTCAAATTGTTGTTACATTTATGACCATGGCACACTAAATTAAAATTTATAATGCTATTTTTTTAAATGAAAATGTCGAAAGTGTATATATATCATTCTATTCATTTGTCAATGTCATTTTCTATCAAATGAAGTAAAAAAATACCATGAGTGTCATTTAAAGATTAAAACTTGCAGTCATTTCCGGTGCAATCCTAATTTATGTCATATACTAACACACCAAATCTCGTTTATCTGAAAAAAATACAAAGTTATAGGGGTAAACACTTTTGAGACGCACCCGGTATATTAAGGATCATGTATGAAAACACAAATTATATTTTTTAAAAAAATTTAAAAAATGTTGTTACTAAAACTTATAAAATATGAGATTTGTTCCAACCAGCATATAGGAATCGTTTCGAAATCGTACTCGAATCCATTTTCTCGCACTTTTTAGAATGCGCGGACTTCGGATAGTTTCGTGACGGTGCAAAAAGTACCAACCTTGGAACGCTTTGTGGGTTGTTTTCGGGATTGTCAAAAGTGTTAAGCGTGCGTGTATTGATCGGTTTTTTATTTTTGTTCGAGAAAAAAAGAAAATACGATTAAAGCTTACCTAAATGTTGTTCATTTTTCACCCTTTCACTAGGCAGCAACTCCAAATTGTCACTATCTGAAGAGGAAGTAAAGAAATCAGTCATACCATCGTCACTCATCCATTTCCGAACGATTTACACCACACAAACTCACAAGCCAAAGTATAATGCACACGTATTCGAATTTGTAAAAAATAACCAAGTCAGAAGCATCAGCCGGACGCCGGACCAGAATCAGCTGTTAAAAATCGATAATCCCTGCCAATATGCTTTAATGCGCAAGTCAACCCAAACAGTTCTCAATTTGGACCATGTACCGAAATTGCCATTCTAAAATCGTAGCTAAATGATCCTAAGTTAGGTTGGTACGCAAATAGGATCGTCCGATAACCGTCAAATCTCGGTTGGAACACATTTGAATTACTGCGCACATGCGTAATCATTCGGTGACGATTCTGCGGTGGGTTGGAACAAACCTATGAACAACTATCAACTTAGTTTTCAAATCTCTTACAACTGATATCGTCTATTCTTATAAATGAATGCAGTAAGTCTAAGCGGATTTAAAGGCCTTGTTATGTATTTCTAGTTTATTGTGTATCGACGATATTTGGTGGCGTTATGTATGAACCAACACATATTTCGAAAATTTATACCATGCTCTTCACGGGGTTTTTCTTTATATGCTCGTTCTATTTAAATTTCGCGTCAAATGGATGATACTAATTCTACTTTATAATATTAAACATTAATAATATAATATTAAGTATTAATATTTTTTTAATGAAACCGCTAAAAATTCTAAATGCTTTGAATACAAAAAAATGTTCCTTTTTAATTCTCTATGTAACTAGAAGATAATAACAGGGTGTTTCATTAAAAAAAAACGAAGAAAAAGTATTTTATATTTTAAAAAGTTTATCATAGAATTTTGAACACCCTTAATAGTTTAAGATTTCTATATTTATAGCACACACAAAGTAAGTACACACTAACTATAATAAATACCTAGTATAATTTTCATTTCAGGACATTTTTTTTATTTTTTGTTTATGTGTTATTGATTTGTAATATTTTTTTTAGAAAAAGCTAAAAAAAATATTTTTTTATTTATACAGGGTGGTCCGAACTGTATTCCGAAACTTCGACAGCATATTCTGCACATTAAAAAAAGAAAAAAAATCGTATAAATGTACGTCCTAAGATGCTTATTTTCGGAGATACAGGGTGTAGAAGTTTCATCTACTCAACGTGTTTTTTTTTTGTTGATAATGACATGTAATGACTGGTTCCATTCTAAATATCTTGAGAACGATTGCTCGCAGCGATTTTTACCAAAAGACATTTTTTACCTAAAAAGTCACGGAGATGTATATTTTTTCACTCAGTAGTTTTATACAGGTACGGACGAAAAGTTATTACTCTTAAAACAGTTAACACACATTTAGGTGGCCCCCCCCTACAAATTGGAATCATATTGACATCAAAATAAAATATATCATGTCAACAAACTCCCAGACACCAATTTTCATCGAAATATTGACGTTTCTTCCGAAATGATTTGGAAAAAATCGAAATAAAAATACAACAATACACACTCTATCTCCGAAACTAACCATTTTAAGACATACATTTATACGAACTATTTTACTTATCTTTATCTGCCAGAATAGGCTGCCGAATTTTTTGGAATACTACTATTATTCAAAGATATAAGTAAAAATTAGGTTTTGATTAAAAATATGAGCGTAATAATCATGTGGCCGGATATTAAACTATAAGAGGGCAACGGCCTAGCTACGCCGAAACACCGGTTCCCATAGAACACCGAAGTTAAGCGACGTAAGGCGATACTAGTGGATGGACGGGTAACCGGTTCGAAACTCTGTATCGTGCTGTTGTCCAAAAAAGGCAAAAGTGTAAAATCTATTGATACACACTGCTCACTCACGCCGGTTCGAGGCCGGATGAGATCGGATATCTCGTGAGTAAGAGTCGATTTAGACACTTGCCAAGTCGGTAGGCCATTGACCATGATATGGCCGAGGACCGCGGTTCGTATTCCGCGTAAACAAAGTAGGCCCCGTCCAGATTAGCCCTGGCAGCAAAAAGGAGACGGTACCTTCAAATCTTTACCTTTCCCTTTTAAACTGTAAGATAAAGCAGATTTTGGTACACACATTTCTAACATTTTTTTTGCCTCATCATAAATCATAACCTAGCTAGTAGCCGAACACGACTACACCACGACTACACAATTTCAATTGTTTCAGCTGAAAATTATTTCTCTTGACATAACTTAACAATATACGACTCACCTGTACTAAACCAAAGCCAAATAGTCACACGGAACAAGTTCACACCTAGCACCCGGTACATTTCCGACGGAGCGTCGTCGCAGAGGACAGGCGGAACGCAAAAAGGACGCCGCGAGTCGTCGGCTGTCGTTCGGCAAGTTATTTTCGATTCAATAGGACGCTGACTGGCGTCGTAGGGACAACAACAGCACCGGACGCCCTCGAACGCTCGGACGCGAATGAAGAAAATCCGTAAAATGCGTCTGCGCCCGCCAATTCAAAAAGTCGAAAGAGTTGCGAGAAAAAGGGAGGACGGAAGGAAAAAAGAATAAAGTGGGGAAGTGTGTAAGTAGGAAGCGAAGACACAAATGTGGGCTGCTGTTGTTTTCGGGGGAAGTTTAATTTAATTAGATCAGAATGTAATGAAAATTCTAAAGTTAATACTATAAAAATGAAATTTACAATAACAACAGTAAATTAAACGTATAGAAAAGTTTTAGAAAAATTATCTACATTTCATACCAGACAAACTTTTAGTCACACGATTAAGCTTGACCGGCATAGCGTTGTTTCTTTTAATCAAAATATTTTATGAATCAAACATAAATTAATTATAAATATACAGGTTTGTTCACCACATACGACACGGAGTATTGTAGCTAAACGATTAGATTTTTACAAATTGTAAGTTTTGGGTTCGTTGAAGGACTATTAGAGCTACAATTTAAAAATATTTTTACAAGATACAGAGTGTCTCAAATAAATAAAAAATATCAAAGTTGTATTTTTTTAAATGGAGCACCCTGTATAATTATTGCATTTTTAGTTTCTACGATTAAAATTAAGGTAAATTTCATTAACGTTTATTACACTTAAACCTTAACGTTTTTGAAATATTTTCAATTTTGCGAAATTGCAGTATAAATTAAGGCTTCATTTCTCCGAGGATATCAAAATTTTTAATACTAAATATTTACTGAAGTTTATTTATTGGTCAGTTATTGTGTTGCAATAATAAAAATTATACTACCTTATACAGAGTGTCTAAAAATTTATTTTATATAATTACTAGCTTTAAACGGCAATAACTTATTTAATTAAAATAGAACACCCTGTATATTTTATGAGAATCAGACGCACAATCTAATTGTCTATCAAATTGTATTATGCCACTTCTTACCTATTCCTTCAAGTTTTCGTAGAAATTGCATTTTTTTATAATTCAGACCTCATTTATCAATATACCCATGGAATATTGACATTTTAGATTGTTTTTAAAACAACAAATGTACAAAATATACAGACTAGTAATACTATCGTTTTTAGTAAAACGATAATATTACTAGCCCATTTGTATGCAAAAAGAAAACTATTTAAATCTTTATAAAAGAGTATACCATTAATTAAATATACCACCAGTATTTCCGCCCAAATATTAATTAACTACATACTTAATTGTGTTCGTTAATAAATTATTCTAAATAAATGTGGATTTGAATCAGAAATCAATATAATAATAAGTTATGAAAATGAACGTCTCTGTTATAAATAAGCATTTGTCAAAAAATTAAATATCATTATTTTTAAGGTGTTACTTTTTACCACACTCTCTAATACACATACATAATTCAGTTTTTTAGTATTTGGAGCAATTATTATTAATCAACGCAAACAGTCAATTAATGTAGTTTGAATACTGGAATCATATTAACTGGTCCTCTTTGACAAATATTTAAACAGTTTTTTTTTATTTTTTAATAAAATAAACAAACTATATCGAGAATATTAGTATCTGTACTCTTTAAAAATTTGGTACATCTTTAAAAATAATCTAAAATGTCAGTATTCCATGGGTATATTGATAAATGAGTTCTAAATTACAAGAAAATGCATTTTCTACGGAAACTTGAAGAGATAGGTAAAAATGGTATAGTACAATTTGATAGACAATTAAATTGTGCATCTGATTCTCATAAAATATACAGGGTGTTCCATTCAAATTAAACAAGTTATTGCCATTTCAAGCTATTAATTATTTAAAATAAATTTTTAGACACTCTGTATAAGGTAGCAAAGTTTTTATTCTTGCAACACAATAACTAATCAATAAATAAACTTCAGTAAATATTTAGTATTAAAAACTTTGATACCCTCGGAGAAATTAAGCATTAAAATTTATACTGCAATTTCACAAAATTAAAAATATTTCAAAAACGGTAAGGTTTAAGTGTAATAAACCTTAATCAAATTTACCTTTATTTTAATCGTAGGAACTAAAAGTGTAATAATATATAGGGTGTTCCATTTAAAAAAATACAACTTTGATATTTTTTACTTATTTGGGACACTCTGTATCTTGTAAAAATATTTTTGAATTGTAGTTCTAATAGTCCTTAAACGAACCCAAAACTTACAATTTGTAAAAATCTAGTCGTTTAGTTACAATACTCCGTGTCGTATGTGGTAACCTGTATAAACTGTTATTATTTACATGAACAAAACTAATCTTTTTAACAGCACTTAAGGTACATAAAACGCCATTACTACCGTTTTTTCGTTCAAAATATTCTAGTAAAGTTGCTATGAGCTTTTACGGCTATTAAGCTATTTTGTACGTTTCGCACTAAAAGGGGTTCTAAAAAGAATAATGTTCGATTGCAAGGTCTGCTAGTAAGCATGTTTAAGCTTAAAATTATTATAGCTATTACTTCATAAATTATTTGGAAAAAATCGAAATAAAAATGAAACTTCTACACCCTGTATCTCCAAAACTAAGCATTTATACGAACTTTTTTACTTATTTTTATCTGCAGAATATGCTGTCGACGTTTCCGGAATACAGTTCGCACCATCCTGTATATTAAATGTATATGTCACTGTAAATGTCCGAAATGCGGTAAATCCTAGGTTTCACCGCATTTCGAGTTGGTTAGCGTGGTTATTTGGGGGGTGTTAATTCATTGGTAAATCCTAGGTTTAGCGCGCTTATCCTAGGTTTCGCCGCGCTTATCCTAGGATTTACCGCCTTTAACATATATATTACTCCGACGTTATCAGCATCTGATAACGTCTACCCGTTGCCTCTACAGTTTTTTAGACATAGAACAGTAAATAAAAATATACCGTCTTCATTATTTCAGATTACATCAAAACTGTATATTAAGTGAGTAAATAATAGTAACCCCCGTTATAATTAGGAATAACTCTTTATAATTCAATAACTTTGCAGCGAAGCATGCAGCACTAATCACATCGTGAGTTTTTCTTTCACATTTATTCATTTACATTGTGCATTTTAGAGCAGCAGTGATTACTTGGGCTATTAATTAATAATAAATTCGCCGGCTGTTAATTAACTTTACATCGCCAATATTGTGAAAATTAAACTGGATTGAATAAAATTGTTCATGGTAATTAAACATTAAAATGAGGTAAACAGAGACAACGGCAATTTAATTGCAACTCTAGGTACAAACAACCCACGCCTGTTTAGAGAAATATATAAAAATAGTTCATCAATAGACGGTTTTATTCAGTTTGTGTAATTTTTTGTTGTATTCAATTCTTTGATGTAACTTTATATTAGTTTTATTTTTTCTACTATAAAATAGGTGGCAATGAGGTATTTCGTGTTACTATCAACTTTGTTTTTTTTGTGACTTTCTATAGAGTCTTGCTTAATGTATGATTAATGAGGTATGTAAAAAATTATTTATCAACACTTACTACATATTAGTATATCTATTTCAAAATTTTGATTTTAGAACTAATACTTAATTAAAAGCTCCTGTTTTTTCCATGTATTCTTCCCAATTTTTTCTCCGTCTTCAAGTTATCATCTTTTAACTTGGAAACACTGTACTTATTTATTTATTTATTTATTTATTTATCGTATGGCTCATATACATGCAAGAAGACGAGACTCTCAAACATAGACATAAAATAAACTACAATGTAAGTGAAAACATTACAATGTAAATATAAAAAAACAAGTATATGATAAAAAGACAATAAAAAAAACGTATTTACGAACACTACATATTAACATCTAGATGCCCTATCTATTCCAAAGCTGCTGGAGAAGCCTCCAGAAAGTCCCTTCAATCTTCACCATAAGCGCGTAGTTTGCACTCTCTAGTTATGTGATTATGGTTTGGTGAGGGATCCGCAATCACATTCTGGGGAAGGTATTTTACCCCACTTATAAAGAGAATCCGCACATCTTCCATGGCCAGAGCCTATATATATATCCTATTCAAAGTTGACCATGTTTTCCGGTTTAGATCGGTACCCGGTGTCTGGCAATAGTTGTTTCTGAACCAGGAGTATAGGTGCGCATTGGCCACTTCTCTCCATAACTGAAGCCACTGTTCTCGAGAATTGTAGTTACTGATTTTTAGTTGTTTAGCTGTTCGCAAAGGTGGATTTCTCGACTTCAGTCTATTCACCTGTAAAGCATGAAGTGTTTCATGAACAGGTAGCGTTGGGTTAGCTAGTATTTTATCAAATTCTCTAAGAAGAGCCTAGTTTCTGCGTAGATTTGGAGGTAGGATGTTACTCAGAACTGGAAGCCAGTAACTAGGTGTGCATCTGAGTGTCCCTGTAATCAGCTGCATGGTGTTGTTCAGCTGTCTGTCTACAAGATTTGTGCGGTGGCTGTTCAACCACACGGGTGCACAATATTCTGCCACACTGAATACCAGGCCAAGGGCGAAGATCCGAAGTATTGTTGCTTTTGCACCTCAAGAAGTACCACAAAGTTTTTGTATAATTTTGTTTCGTGTTCTGGTTTTACCAGCAACAATTTCTAGGTGTTTTCGAAATGAGAGTTTACGGTCTAGAGTAATCCCCAGATATTTTGGATATTTGTTATTACGCACAGTGGTGTTACCAAACTGGACGCTTCGAAACACTGTACTGATGAAGGTTATAAGCCGGAAAAACGTGTCTGCGGTTATTACTCTCTAGTGAACTATACCAATACTTCTTTCCTTTTTTTATTATAAAATTTATTTGACTTTTATAATTTTACAAACCCATAGTTTTCATTTTGGATTACCATAATAAAAACATGGTATTTGTAAGGGTGTGTCAACCATAGCTTAACTTTATTGTTAAATATCGCATATGTGTTGGATTTATAACAAGATTATTATTTCAATAATATTTCCACTTAATGTTAATCTATGCATATTAAATTGTCAGACACGCATGAGCCTGA